ATCCCAACCCCCAAGAGTTTCTCTTGAACTTTGAACTTCAGGCCAAAGACAAGAATAAAACCTACTGATCTGACAAACTATGAGCCCCATAGAAACCAAGCCTTTTTTTTTTTTAACCAAGCTTCTCTTGTAGGCACATGGAGCCACACATACACACTGGCAAATACAGAACAACAGCCTCACACACAAACCAAGCTGGTATCACCTGTAATTACTTTGCTGGATTACCAAAGTATTCTCTGAAGGAACAGACCTGTGCTGCTATTTAGTTTTCTTCAAGTGTTTATTGCTCAGAAGAAAAATCCCTACATGGAGCCACACATACACACTGGCAAATCCAGAACACCAGCCTCACACACAAACCAAGCTGGTATCACCTGTAATTACTTTGCTGGATTACCAAAGTATTCTCTGAAGGAACAGACCTGTGCTGCTATTTAGTTTTCTTCAAGTGTTTATTGCTCAGAAGAAAAATCCCTAAATCATTCTAAGGGACATCCTTCCAGGGTGCTCCTGTCCGGGGAGGGGTCCCTGGGTAGGCAGAGGGATTGGGGCGGGTAGGTACCTGGTGGGTGGTGGGAAGCAGTATGGTGGGGAGGAGGTCCTCAGAACTGCCACCGGAAGCGGGGCAGACCCCCCAGGCACCTTCGGGATGGGCAGGGAGGCTTCAGGACCCAGCGAGCAGTTGGCGGCCCCTGGTGGCCCCTGGGTCAGTGCGGCCTGGGATTATTCTCACTCTGCTCCTGGGTGTCCACCTCCAAGACTTCCCTGACCTTGAGTGTCTACATCTCTGTCCCTAGCAGCTCAGGTCAGGAGCATGGGGGCAGGTCTGCCGGGGGCGTGGGAGTGCCATCTGGGAGCCAGCCCCGACTCAGGCCCTTGGTTCCCGGGCCAGGCCTCCCCCAACACATCGGAGCAGTGGGAACTCTGCAGTTCAGCCAGAGCTGCTTGGTGACAAACTCCTAGGAATCCAGGTGCTTTATGAAGAAGCGGGCTGGGGTCAGACAGACAACAGCGTTCATCAGCTGTGGGAGACTCTGGTCGGTGGTCACACGTGCTGTTCTGTCCGCAGTGCTCCTTTCCAGATCAGGTTATGAAACTGCCTGGAGGCAGCTCACCAACTGAGCTGAAGTAATTCCGCACAGACTCACTGCTCTGAGCTTCAAAGGCCAGGGTAGGGTGCAGAAAAGAGAGGCTCAAAAACGCTAGGCATAGAGAAGAAGGCGTGATCTGCTCATTATCTCCCAAACTACAATCACAGGGACACTGTCTCATCCACGGGCTAGTCCTGTGTAAACTCCTGGTCCCCAGCTGATATTCTTCCCCCCAAAACGAGAGCAGCTAGATTGAAACCCACAGTGTGGGTGTTCCATACGTACTATGATGCAGTTGTATTAGTCAGTTATTGCTGCTATGATAATGCTGCATAACAAACAACCCACCCCAGACCTCAATGCATTACAAAGCAAACGTTCGTGTTTCTCTTTCTGGGCCTATGGGTTGGATGGACTAGCTCTACTTGGGCCACAGGCTGGGGTCAAGCCTGCTCCCTGGCCCTTTCGTCCCATGACTAGCAGTTTTTGCCAGAACTGACCATTTCTGAGCATGGCCAGATATATGTGTCAGCATAGTTTTCCTCTGCTCACCTTGTCCGTCATCTCACTCGGGTTGTGTAACTGGCCTCCAAGTGGAAAGAGGAGAAATTGAGAGACTGCCTGCAGGCTGCAAGTGGAACGGGAAGAGGTCATCTTGCTACTTGCTACTCAGATTTTCCCAATTGCTCCCAAGTCTGTCAGACTCCCCCAATTTCCATACTGGAGAGCCTCTCCTTTGAGTCACTATGGAATTTCCACCTGTTCGAACGTGAGTGTAGAAATTACAGCTAAAATTTACATAGCAGCTATTAGGCTCTAAGCACTGAGGCACCGAGAGGTTTAGGAACATCCTCAGAGTCACACAGTGGATGGTGGCAGAGGCAGGATCCGAATCCAGGGGTCTGTCACCAGGTGTTGGCCACCCACGGCAGCCACCAGAGCCTGAGTCAGAGTCGGAAGTCGCAGGGTCTAGTCATGCTTCTCCGTTTGGGCAGGGAGAGGCCTGGAGGTGCACAGGAGACGTGGTGGGGCAGGGTGCCGTGCTAAGGAGGCTGGGCTTTGCCTGTGGTGCTGAGGAGTCATCACAGGTTTAAACACTAGAATGACAGTCAGACTGGAAAGTATCCAGGAATATGCACATTCACATCCAGCATTTCTCCAAGGGGCTCGGCAGGTCCCTTCCTGCAGTGTCCCAGAGAGGGCAAGTGACTTGCCCAGGGTCACACAGCAGGTAGAGGAGCGTTTGGAACTCAGGTCTTCCCATCCCCCATTTTTGTCTCCTGTCTCCTCACACCCAGGTCTGCTCCCTGCCCACTCGGCTTCTCTGCGCTCTCCGCATCCAAGGCTGTGTGGGTCACCTACAGGCCTCACCCCAGCGGGACCCGGGAATGCAGCAGCCCCGAGGTGTGGCGCTCCTCAGGGTGTCCCTGGAGGCCAGACACGGCTGCCCTGTCCCGGGATGCTGTGGTGACCCCTGAGCACCCTCAACCCAGCTTCCTTCCTGCCCCTC